TAATAAGAATGTGAGGAGAAGATTTAGGGAGAACCAAGCGATTTTTAAACCACAGGCAGCCATTAATCACATGATAACCCAGATGTGACTGGGCATCCAACAAAATATCTGTTAAAATTGTCTTAGTGGTAGGATCAAGTAATATATCCTCAGACAACTTTTGTAGATCCGGGCTGGTAATTAATGTGAGTTCCCTACAATCCATGACCTGTGACAGTGCATCAGCCGTCTTATTGTCCGGCCCCGGCTTGTATTGGATCTCAAAATCGTAGCCCATGAGTTTAGCAACCCATTTATGTTGCCCCTCTGCCATAAGCCTTTGCTCCATCAAGTACTTTAGACTTCGTTGGTCCGTTATAATAAGAAAATGGCGCCCCAATAAAAAAAGACGCCACTTCTGCACGACAAATACTATAGCTTTTAACTCCCGTTCATAAACCGACAATAGCTTGTCTCTATCAGAAAAAGCCTTACTAAGGAAGGCAATGAGGCGCTCCTCTTGCATCAAAACAGCCCCCATTCCCACACCCGAAGCATCCGTCTCTAAAACAAATAGGGCAGTGAAATTCGGTAAGGCCAAGGTACGCAATTTCATTATTTCTTCCTTCAAAACCTCAAAACAGAGTTGTGTCTCATCGCTCCATACGAAATTGTCCTTCTTAAGTAGTTGCGTGAGGGGTTTAGCAAGCTGGCCATACTGGGGGACAAAGCGTCTATAGTAGCCTGTTAATCCCAAAAATCCCCTGAGTCCCTTCAAGTTTTTGGGAATCGGCCATTGTTTGATAGCTGCCAATTTTTGTGGATCAGCCCTAACACCCTCTTGAGAGATCAAATGACACAAATACTCCAACTCCCTCTTAGCAAAGGTGCATTTTTTTTCATTGGCCGAGAACTGGTTTTGTCTCAGAATTTCCAGCACCTCTTTCAAGTGCTCCCCATGCTATTCTTCATCATGGTTGTATATCAAAATGTCGTCGAAGAAAACTAAGACAAATTTCCGCAAAAAAAGCTTGAAAACTGAGTTCATCAGAGATTGAAATATAGACGGTGCATTCCTCAACCCAAAGGGCATCACAAGGTACTCGTAATGTCCCTCATGAGTACGGAAGGCAATTTTTTCAATATCATCGACTCTCATGCGAATATGATTATAACCTGACTTCAAATCTAATTTGGAAAATATTCCCGCCCCATTCAGCTCATCCAGAAGTTCATCTATAACAAGCGGAAATTTGTCCGGAATGGTTACCTTGTTCAACGCTCTGTAATCGACGCAAAAATGCCAACTCCCATCCTTCTTCTTGACCAGAATCAATGGGCTGGAGCAAGGGCTGCAACTTGGACGAATCATCCCTGCTGCCATCATATCCTTCACGAACCTCTCTATCTCTTCCTTTTGATAGTAAGGATAGCGATATGGTCGTATGTTGGGAATGGTAGCATCTGGCTTCAGAAGTATTTTGTGATCACAATCTCTGGACGATGGCAATTCCTGGGGTGGTTGAAACACTTCTTTATACTGCTGCAGTAAATCGAAAATCAGTGGAGTAACTTTTTGAGAGTGGAACACTTCCATCGCATAATACCCCAATTCCACGTAATATCATTCTTCCTTTTTTTTTCCAGGAACGGGACATTCCCTTATATGACACGCGACCGCAAGAAAGAGTAGGGTCCCCCTGTAATTTAACAACCTTCCCTTGCCATGGAATTCGAAGGATCCTCTCCCTGAAGTTAGCCTGAATATTGCCCAGTTCTTCCAACCAAGAATACCCCAAAACCAAATCCACATCGTTGAGATGGAAAACATAAAAATCTTGAATTACTGACAAACCTAGAAGCATCAAATGCACCCCCTTGTAGAATCCCTTTCCCTGTACTTAGGTACCATCGCCTACTCCCACTCGAAAGCTTTTTGCGTCATCGATTAGAATCCCCAACCTGTCCACTGTGCTGTCAGCAATAAAAATGTTAGAAGCCCCCGTGTTGATGAGAACCACCACTTCCTGATCATTCACTTTTCGCCATAATTTCAGAGAACGGTTTAAGGTGAGACCCACCACGCTCTGAACGTTGAGCTGGAGAACTTCCTCTGGTTCCCCATCCCTCTCACCACACACCACGTCTCCATCCGTCGGCTCCTCATCGTCTTCGTTCAACACCATAACCCATAGATTAGGGTTCGAACACACATGTCCTGGACCAAAAGCCCCATCACAGCGAAAGCATAGATTTTGCCGCCGGTGATCAGCTACTTCCTCCGGTGAGAGACGACGGTAACAGTTCCCTGTGCGCCCCTCCGTTCCGGACGTCAATCCTCCCCCTGCTTGGGACGAACCCCCAATTTCTGGTGTCACCCCCAACTCGATTTGTGTTTGTATGAGTGGCGTTGCTGGCAACGGACACCTGTGGAGATGAATTTATGGATGAAGTGAATTGGGTTGTGGCCCCTGGCCCATAATTTCCTCCCTTGGGTCCATTAGTACCACCCCTATTAGATAAGGCTATCCTTCCCCAAGCATTCTGATGGGTATTGGGCCCATGACCCCTACGGCCCAACCCAATATAATTCCTCCCCAATACTGAATCCCTGTCTTCCACACGCTGAGCCATGACCATCATCCCCTCCAAATCATACGGTGAATGTAAACGGATCTCCGCCCGAATCTCCGGTTGCAGTCCAGTCAAAAACGCCGCCTGCATCATCTCTTCGTCCGCTTGCCTCAACGGAGCAGACAGAACCTCGAATTGTTTGTGGAACTCCGCCACCGTGCCCGATTGTCTCAACTTCATCAGTGCTTCGTATGGGTTTCCCGATGGTGAAATGTGGAAGCGTTGCAAGACCGCCATCCTAAACGTCACCCAATCGGTTATTGGATTCCTTGGTTCTCACCATTGAAACCAGCTAAGAGCTTGCTTCTCCAGGAAAATTGACGTTGTCTCTACTTGTTCCTCTGTGTGGAACTCTATTCACGTGAAAATAACGTTCCGCCTGAAATATCCATCTGTAAGGGTCCTCGCCGGAGAAGTAAGGAACCTCCACGCGACGCATTCTCTCCTTCCCCCTCTCCAACGGTCCTCTGCCAGGGTTGCCATTAGGACCCCCTGTTTCTAATCCTCCGTTACCTCCTCGAGCTCCCCTTCCCCCATTTTCCATCTGATTTAAGAAATCGATCAATTCCTCCCTCTTCTGACGTACTTCGATTCGAACTTCTCCGAGATGTTCCTCCACTTGGTCCGTCCTTCTCTCTACTTCTTCTACTCTATTTTCCATTCTCGTCCTTACCATACAGTTCTCCCCAACGACCGTAAGAGCTTTGATACCAAAATGTTGGCACCATACCTTCAATTAATACAATTCCAATAATAATGGCAATCACAGTATCAGAATATCAGTAAAAGCAAATACTCAAATGATATTAAGCAATGAAGACAATGTCACTCATATCAGTAAACCTGAGTCAACCATTTACAATGAACAAGATGCAATGACTAATGAAAATGGACTCCTTCTCCAAGCTACCCGATTCAAGGGACTACACTCATTATTCCATACGCAACCACTGAGACACACATGCTCAGTGCCCTGCTCCCACTACTCTCCACAACACTCTTCATACCTCTTCCCTATTTCTTAACTAACTTATATCCTCACATCCCCTCCCTCCTTCCACGCTTCCCTCTTCATGTGCAGCATTCCACGTGTCCAAGGTCCTAACCAACTTCAGTTTGTCATATGCTTTTCTCCCTTGGGCTCTCTTGTAAGCTTTCCTTCTATGAACCCTGTCAAAGAATGTAAGAGAGGGTCCAGACCCACCAACCAAAGGTGCAGGCCCATTAACATGTTCAGGCCCATCATTATAAAAGAAAAACAAAACAAAAACAAAAACAAAAATCTGAATCCGAAAACAGAGGTCGAGGAATAGTAATTACAAGAATCCCTAAATTACTAGGATTCAAAATAAACTAGATTCTCAGTTACTCACTCCCAAAATGCTAAGCCACAAGCCACCAGCCACCGTTACCAATTCGATGAGAACGAGCAGCGAGATTCGATACTTAAGAGAGTTATAGTTAGATGATTGAGACGGTGAAATTAGGGATCATGTGCGAAAGAAAAATAGGCTTCGATTAGGAACGATGAGTTGTGTCGTGTAAATGGGTTGGTTTGGTTCGACCTGATTACAAATCAGGTTTGAAACGGTTCGTAATTGGATTGTTTTAAAAAATAAAATCGGTTCTAGTTTCCGAACTTATTTAAAAAAAAATCGGTTATTTTGGTTCAGTTTGGTACGATTTTCAATGTGGTTCAGTTTTTTAAAATTTTTTGCACACCCCTAATGGTATGTAGGCCAACTCCAAAAGCCCTATTTTTAATCTTAACTCACAAAAGTCCACCTTCAAAATTTGAAAACTCTCTACAACTTAAAGGTATAGGAAAAATAATGTCAAATTTTTTCCAGAAGTTTCAAGAATAACAAGGTAATGATACTTAAAAGATAAATAAAAGATGAAGAATGAATGAAACAATTGTAGAAAGAATAAACGAAAGTAACATGGGATTACCAAAAAAGTGCAGATAGATACATATATAGATAGCAGGTAATTTGAAATAAAAGAAAGAAAATAGTAAAATATTTACTAACATAAAATAACCTTGTCTTATTTTAACCTTATCCTTTCTTTTCTATTTTTTTTTTTTTTACTTTATACAAATCAATATAGTGAAATTTACCAGGGAAATGGGATATAGTTAATATGATCAAAGGCTCTTAGGAGACGGAGGGCCCAATAACATTTCAAGCCCAGTATAAAGTCAAGGCCCGGGCAAAGAATAAACGTGGATTAGAGAGTCCTAAGCCCAAGAATCTAAAACGCAACGCAACGGAGCGGTTAATAGATTCTTATACCCTAGTTTGAGATTGTGTCAGGGTTTATGATGGTATCTGCAGAGAGAGAGAAAAAATAAATAATAAAATTGCATGAAATCATCACAGGAACATAGATATAGATATCAGATCTCTCTCAATATCCTACAGAGTCTATATATCTCTCTGTTCAGTTGGAGGAGGTTTCATTATCAATAAATAAAAGCATCTCTATCTATTCAAATATTGATTGATTCACAACAACATGTCTGAAAATAATGCATGTACCAACAACTCTAGAATCACCTGGGAAGGTTGTAGCGTCTTGCTCGACATCAACGACGGAGATCGTCTCGTTTTCGCTCGTCTCTCCCCTGCAGCGTCCGTTTTCTTCTTACTTTCTTTCTTTCTTTTATTATTTATTTATTTTTATCTTTATATAAAGAATCAAATTGAATTAGCTTAAATTAATTTGCAGGAAATTGAAGATTGGGAATAAAAATTGCTCTCTGCAGCCGTTGATTGGTTGTGCCTTCGGTTCTGTTTTTCAAGTTGAAACTGCATCCGATGGACCTTATTTATCTCTAGCCCAAGGCATGCCCTCTTTTTTTCATTAAGATTTGATAATGATGATGTTGCTGTGTCAAATATCTTTTCATCTTTCAAATAACTTTATGGTTAATTAAGATACTTCCTCACAGTCTACCCTTTTTTCTCTCTTACTCTCACTGGCATGGTAACTCTCTATTTGCAATTTAGGTAATATTAATAACACTGAAGAAATAAGAGATGGTCAATGCAATGTTGAGTCGAGGGACAATCGGGCATTGATTGACAATAATACGGCACAGAGCCTAACTGGTGAAGATATAGAAGCCATGCGAAGGTGAGGACATCTTCCTTTGGTTTGATTTTGATTGTTAATATTACTTTTACTTTTTGAGGACTCAAAGATATGGAATGTGGTAAAGTTTTATTTATGTATTCCTTGTTTGGTTGCTTGGGTTCTATCCGAAGCGCTAATGGGCCTGACTAATCCGGTTTTGGTTTGAGGTTCTCCATTCTCCCAAAGGAGATGCGACTCTCAGGAATCATACTCACTATCCTTTGGGCAAGTCAAATCCTGGGTTCGAACTGGGTTGTCACTAGACTAACAAGTCTTGGGTCTATAGCTTTGATTTTATGAGTAATACGAATACAGTTTTAGTACCATTCCTTGTTCATGTGAATTCTACAATTCACATGTTACTTGCTTTTCTGAAATAAACTGTCAACTTATTAATTCTTTACCATGCTTATTGGATTATGTTGTGAAAAGAATATCCTTTGCCTTTTATGCAGGCAGGGAGCAAGAGGTAATGAAATAATTGAAGCTCTCATTGCCAATAGTGCAACATTTGAAAAGAAAACATCATTCTCGCAGGTATATTGAAGCGTGCATAAGGAAAGTACATAGTTTATTTTGGAGTAAATAATACAATTTGGACCTTGAAAGAAAGACGTTACTTGTGTTGTTTTGGTATTCAAAAGTTTCCGTCTATACAAATTAGTATTTGAAGCTGTCAACTTGTTAACAAATTCACCCTTCCGTCATTTGGTGTTTGTGAGCCGTATCCTATGAAGCACCGATACGCGTTTCCGATACGTTCTCGATGATACAGGATGTCAATTACCAAAGGATACGTGTCCGATACGCGTATCCGATACGTTGAAAAAAAAAATTAAGGAGTATCGGTGCTTCATAGGCCGTATCAGAGATCCTAATGTAAAATGTCAAATGTGCATGTGTAAAGTTATCGCACATGGAATAACAGTCCCACCTCCAACCATATTTGGGCCTACATCACCCGATTTGGATGCTGCAAGCATAGCTTCTTAAGTTCGTGCTATGGGTGATGCAGGTCCAATTATGGTTAGATGTGGGAATGCCATTCCATGTAAACACTCTTACTAGACAAATAATGTTACTCATGTGCATTTAATGTTTTACATCAATTTCTCTTTTAGGGCTCCACTAATACCAAGTGACAGAAGGGTGTACTTGTTAGCAAGTTATCATCTTCAGGGACTACTCTGTATAGATGGAAACATTGAGGGTTCAAAGCAACACTAGTAACATCTTTTAGGGACCAAACTGTACATTTACTCTTTATTTTGGAAAATGAACTGAATCTTATGATATCTGTGCAGGAGAAATATAGACTTAAGAAGCAGAAGAAATATGCACCAAAAGTACTTATGAGGCGCCCTGTTGCTCGAAGGTGACCTTGATTGTTTTTCTCTGTTGTTTTTATCATTATTATTATTATTTTCACATATTGCTAGTGGTTGGCATTCCTTTTCTCTCTGTGGAACCAATAAATGTGCTTTCCAATATCAAAGATGTACTTTAAAGATCTTTCGTTTCGTACTTTTGGTGCATCTGGTTTTGTTTTGTTAGTGGAAAATGATATTAACAACATTATCTCTGCATGCTGTTATGCCGCTTGGCACTGTCCTACTAACAGTCTGACTGTGATGGAACCAGTGACATTATAATGATTTAACTAATGATAGACAACAATGTCAAGCCTATATAGCATGCTCTTTGAACATGAGAAAGAAAATTTTCTTGAAAGTATAAAAAAAATATAATATTTTTTTTCTCCTATTAGTAATTATTTCATAGAATGTTCATTAAGCTGATTGTGACTTTTGTTTCATCTTAAATATCTTTATATATGCATACTGTTATCATTTTTTATGATATCTTGCATCTCAACTCAATGACTTATGGTTGGCATTATTTTATTTTTTTTTTCAGTATATGCGAGGCCTATTTTAAGAAGTATCCATCTAAAATTGGGTGAGGTTTATCTTGATCTTATGATTGTAATTTTTCTTAGATGTTTACCATTAGCATTTATTTACTATTAGATTTAAGCTTTTCTTTTAGAGCATGATGTGAACTGTGAAGAGCAGGCATAAATTGTTTCTGGAATTTCTTTAACTTTGTATTGGTTAAACTTGGTCTGACTGAATATAATGTCTTTGATCTGTGTATGTGGTTTAAATCAGGGAAGAGGAATAAGAATAGAAGAGCAAATTTCAATATTGGATATATGCGAGTTTTGAATAGATAGACAGTCTTTGATATATGGCAATTGCTATTTTGTGCTTTTCTGTAAGGGAAAAATGTCTATCATTTAAAATTACACAACTTACATCCTTTCACTCTCACAAAGAGGTGGGACCCACACCTTTATTTTTTTTGTCAACTCTCTCTCCTCCTTTATCTATCTCTTTCTCTCTCTTAAAATGACACAACTTTACATCCTTTAAAATTATACACACTTTTCCCTTTCTGTAAACCACAAGCTTTTGAGTCGAATTAACTTATTCTTGAATTTTTATTTTTTTATTTTTGGGCTCAAATATGGGTTTGAGAAGAAGCTGGACCTCTGAATTTAATTATCAATGTCTGGATGTGAATATTCTGAGTTCACCTTTCTTTGTGTTTTGGACTTGTGTATCCTGTGCACCATCTATATGACTAAAAAATGTTAAGATATATATATAGTATTAAATTGGTCGGTTCACTGTCTCTAGATGAAGTGATTTACATAATCCTTAATATTGTTTCTGACTAACTATTAATTGTTCAGATTCTTGCGGGTGGATACATTGTCTCTTCTACTTTCCATGGCTAATGTTTCTACAAATTCTGACATTCTCGTAGTTGATATGGTTGGTGGCCTTCTTACTGGTGCTGCGGCAGAACGTTTAGGAGGTGTGATATAAATTTAAACTAAGTTGGCCATTTAGATATTTCTATTTTTTTTCCCCATTGGTGAATCATCATAACAATTGTAAAATAAAAGAATATAACACTTACCATTAATATATAGATATATTCACTTTCTGTTCTGAACAATCTTCTGACAGAGTGACTCTTAATGTGAATTTTCAGAAGTAAACAGCTAATACATATACTTGATAATCAAAAACTTTAAATTTTTTTCAGGTACCGGTTTTATATGCAACTCTTATCTTGGGCAGGCACCATATTCCATGGATATTGTGAGGATTTTTAACTTAAGTGATGAAATCTCCAAGAGGTCAGAATAGTCAGATGATGTGTATTATAATATTATTAAACTTTTTTCCAGTTAAAATCATCAAAACGTTTTTTATCATTCTTCTTACAGGCTTAAGTGACTGACTGCACTAAAAGAGAAATGGTTGACATTTTCTTAGCTTTAATTTCTCACAGATAGTTTTGGATGTTCTTTGTATTTGCCTGGATATTTTTTACATTATTAATGCAATTAGATTTTTCTTCTGGATGCACATTTTTCTTATAATTTAATAACTTATGAAGCCCAGGAAAAAAAGGGAGAAAAGTTTTTTGGGAATTCCTTCTGAGATAACTATGTGTTGATTTAATAGGAATATTGATTAATGTTATATGTTTGTTCACCATATAAAACTGATGTCATATATAGTTAATTTCATGTTATTATCTGAGAGCCAAAGAAAATTCAAACCAATTGTATACAGCTACCACATTGTGTGGTCTGTTTGAATGCGCATGTTCCAAGGTTTTGCTTCTTGCCTCTGGCATTATTTTCATCTTTTATTTGTTGCAGAATTGTACGATCTCCCATTTCTGACTTGTTGTCCCAAAAACCTGAACAAATTGTGCAGCATGATAACGTCTGCAATGTGGAAAGCCAGCCAAATGTAAGTAGCACTTCCTTGATCTCCTGATCAGTTCTATGTTATTGTTTTCAGCCTTTATCAGAAGATATATTGTGTGCAGGATCAAATGGGTACATCAGACAGCATGGAGGAAATCTCTCATCCATCAGAAAATGGGATTTCTGATCTTGCTGCTGAGAATACCATCATTCCTGCTGTAAGAGCTTGCAAAGCTATAAAGGCTGGAGAAAAGGCACAACAAGAAATCATTGACATGTGGAAGGAAAATGGGTTTTCTAGGTATCTAAATTAAATATTTGACTCACTATTCAGTGAATCATTAAGTTGAGCATTTCCCCCCCTTTTGTACAGCCTAATTATTGCCGCACCAGAGTTGGATACCTGGACATTGGTTAGAGATCTCTTGCCTCTTTTATCAAACTCTGCTTCATTTGCTATTTATCACCAATATCTTCAGGTAATTTAGTTCAGTTTTCAAGATTAATGAATTGTGATGTTATTTAGAGGTATTCATTCAAAATAACCTTTTTTAATTAATTTGTTTAGTTTCTTTTTAAGTCTTTAATTTTGGGGTTCAAATGTTTGTTCTGGTTAGCTTTGGTTATAACTTTAGTAACATGTCAAAGATAGACTACGAATGTAACAAATTTTTAAGAGGTCAAACATTTTCCGACTTACATTAATCTAATCAAGATGTATATTTTAAGAGGCAGAGTGCTGCTTTTTGACAATTGATTAAACAATGCCACGTAGATGATCAACTAAATTATCATGTATTGCTGGAGACTCTAGAAAATGATATCTCTGTGGGTGGATAGGGTGGGGGTGTTTAAAGTTGAAATGTTTCCTTTGCCTCTAAATACTAAATAGGTTATGATTCTGCTCACTCAGTTGTTAACTTAACAGAGTGTTCTTGTTTGTTCGCTTTATAAATTGCAGCCTCTTGCAACTTGCATGCACAATCTACAACTTGGGAAAATGGCCATTGGATTGCAAATATCAGAGCCTTGGTTACGTGAATACCAGGTTTGAGTTATTTGTGTTATTCATACCAATATTGTGAAATTAGACAGGTATTATGAATTCCTTCGGTTACAAAAGTGAAAGTAAAATTAAATTATGTCTGATTTACTTTAAGCATAGGAATTTTCTGAGCTTGTTTCATTTATTTCATAAGTATCTCTGGTTACGAAAATTCTAAGTAGCTTCATGAAATTCTCCACACGTTTTTAGCATACTGAGAGATAGGTGTGGGTAACATGATAAAAATACAAAAGCTTTGTTAGACACCTAAAAACACAGTTATCTAACACAGCATTTACATATGCTGCAGTATTCAAGGAGATTGGTTTCCTTATCGTGTTTAGTGTTTGCGGTGCCACCCTTGTCTTCTTTTTTTCTTTTTCTTTTTCAACCTGATTGAGACATGGAATTTTGGAGGGTTGAATGCAGGAATATTATTTGCATATCTTGTTTGTTTAGGATTGTCGTTTTTTTTCAACCTGATTAAGGCATGGAAATATTGGCCCTTAACGCATCTACAAAGAAGAAAAATGGGCTGAACATGACCAGAAGGTGGGATAAATGTGAGGGAGATGAGTGAGAAAAAGCTTGGGCAAGAATTGAGCAAAGGGGAGAGGTTTTGGGAGGGGTGGGATATTCTGTGTGCCTGCAGAATTTGCCCGATTATTATTATTATTATTATTATTATTATTTTTGGCTGCATTTTCTTTGTAATTTCAGTCTCAATAGAGGGCTACCTCTGCTTGTAAGGAGCTTGGTCTCCATTATTTTCTACTCTAATTCCTAGTACCTCCAAATCTCCATTAACAATGTTTTATGGTACAGATTTCCATTTAACAATTTAATTAATATATATGCAGGTACTTCCCTCAAGAACTCACCCGTGTATGCAAATGAGCGCATTTGGAGGCTACATTCTCAGTGGGACTAAGATATGCGGAAGCTAATTCCGGATCCATCAGAATAGTTTTGCTTTGATTACCCTCTGTTGGTCAGGCCAAGGCTAAATATGGCTATGTATACTAGTCATTTATTTTACTGTTTGCTGCCAACAAACCTTTTAACTACCGCATAATTTTTATTGCGGCCTGTAATCTGATATTTGTATTTTATAGCTTTTGTATTTTATTTCATTTTTCAACTAAAATCTCAATAATAGTCAAACTGACACTGTTATTTTTTGAATTTTGTTTGTTACCTATCTCTACAACTATCTCTGAAACTTACAGTAAATTTTGTAATTGTTTTTCTTTTTCTTTTTTTTTTTCACTTTTGAAATTTTGGAGTAGATTTTGATGTTAAAATAATGACGAAAGATCCAATAACGGGTCCATATGGTAACATTCTGCAAATAATGACCAAAGATCCAATAATTGATCCAATCAGGATGATTGAAATTCTCTTAAATGATTATACATCAAGAGTGTTTTTTTTTTTTTTTTTTTATGATATGAGAGGATTCATTTATCGGGAAAGAAAATAAATAGCCAGTGACATTATAAATCTGTCCTTTGATGTCATCTTCCCCTTCAATTTCAAGGACTCGACTGGTTTCAATTCAGCTTTAAGCTTCTCACCCTAGTTTCCATTTTTGGTTTAAAATTGGAATTCATCGTCATTTCTACTATAGTAGTATTGCTTGTGGGATTTATATTCTTTTTACATTAAAAAAACTGCAGCACGAAACCATTTTTTGTCCAGCTCGCTCTGACAGCAATTTGCTTCCTTTTTTTTTTTTTTGGATGAAAAAAAAACAAGAGGAATGCTTTTCACAAAATAAAATACGGATGTGTTGTTAGCTTTATATAAGTTAAATTATAAGTTTGACCTAGCATGTTTTTCAAAAATACAAGACCTGGTCTGGCATGTGAAGCTTACCAAGCCTTCAAAAATGGCACGTTACCCTCTGTAGAATACAGGTTATGATTATTTTATTTCTTTTGTATGTTTAACTTGATAGAATATATTTCTTTTTTATGCACATAACAAATCAAAAAATTAATAATTTAACTATGATGGTAGAAATCAAAAACAAAAAATGGCAAGGAAGTAGAATGCTTAATTACATTAAAAAAAGAAATATATTCACCCACTCGTGAACTAAAAAATTCCACTCAACAAAAATGAAAATCATGATGATAACAACAACCAAATGTTAAAGACAATAAATTGTTCAACAACATCAAAACTTTATTAAGAGATTCAGATTTTGTTGACTTTTTTGCTTTATTAACACCACCAAAAGGATCAGAATTGCAATTCGTATTTCTTGATCAATTAAGGCACTTTCGTATGAGCAAATTGATAGCATGTGATGTTGATTCATCCTGCATAAGAAGGTCTTTAGAGTCGATAATGAACGATAAATGATTTGGAAGGGATGAGAAGTTGAGAAAATGATAGAAGAGTAGCAAAATTTGGCGAAGGATAGAAAAGAAAATAGCGACGACGACAAAGGAATTTAGGGTTAAGAAATATGTGTTTGTCAAGTGAAAAGATGGAAGATTGCAAAAATTAAAAATCATAAGATACTATTTAATAAAAAAAATAACAAGATATTATTTTATTGAAAAATAATAAGATATTATTATATTAAAAATAAAATAATATATTATTTATTAAAAAATACGAGTCGGGTTTGAAGGTTTAAAGGCCAAGCATGCTAAAATTGGCTTGTGGCTTGATTTTTAAACAAACTTTTTAATGAGAGGTTTTTTAGGAGTGAGTTTTTTCAATACACTTAAAATTCTTCCTCTTTTCTTTATTATATTCTCGAGTTGGTTTTTTAGGAGTTCTCTTAATTTAAGAGAGGGGCAAAATTATTCTCTCCTTGTAATTAAAGAAAGGTTATAATTTTAGGGTTTCCCATAGTAAAAATTTTCTACTCTTGCCCATGATTTCCCCACCTTAATTTGTTTGAGGGTTTATCTATGTTAAATATTTATGTTCCATTTATTGCTTTCAATATCCTTTATTTGTTGTTATTGTTCTGTCCAATGGGATTCTATTTCTTAATAGGCTCTATTCATCAACCTTTTCATGCTCGGTGCACTATTGGTTTAACATTTTTATTCTTCATGTGTCTTTATGTCTTTAATGACTGATTTTTTTCAACGCTTTCACAAACACACTGCTAAGTATAAGGATGACTAAATTAATATGTCTGTCATGGAATAGTGGCCACCCTAGAATGATGGGTGAATTAGCAAAACAACACAGGGTGATTGACCATGTTGATGGATTTTTTTTTTAAAAAAAATTGGTCTAATTTACTTTTGAAACATAATCCCGAATTGATCACCGAATGAATTGTGAATTAGTAAACCAACATTGTTTATCGAATTAATTATGTTGACTAGGCGAGACCAATCCTGCTCGTCAGTTATGTTGGACTTCTAACTGTTGTATGTTGTCTTGCATGATGGAGGTGTGGACCTAGTCTTGTATGGTCAGCATACATGACTTCCTAGATTAAGCCACGTAACAAAATTGTGACCGTGCGATACACCTACAACTTAGTCTCACATCCAAACCATGCAAGACTTCCAAGAAGATGTCACGCTCATCCTGGTCGTCCATCATACCAACCCCTCTCGCCCTAGAAATTTTATAATTCATTACGAGTCAATTAACTCACCCTCTCTATCTCCTTATTCATATCTTCCATTACCCTCTCGAAAATGAGTTCCAGTATAGAAACAATTTATGTGCTTGTATACTGATGCGCCTCTGGCATATGTAGTTTTTCAAGCTAAAAATCTTGGAATTCTGTAAAAATTCATTATGCTAATCTACTTCTTACAAGGAAGGCTTTCACCTTATATACAGTAGGTGATAAGCATAAACTGAAGCGCAAAAAATGTAACAGAAACTGCCACTAACTATAATTAGCTAACAAACTAACAGAAGCTATAATTAGCTTAACAGAAAACTAACAGAAAGAATAACTAATGCCAACTCATCTCAAACAGAAATTAGTTGGATCTATTTTCTTCATGTATCTGTACTGTATCCACGTGTGCTTCATGTGAAGTGGAGTTATTTGAAATAGAGGATGGTAACACCCCCCCGCAAGTGGGACGATGGATATCCAGAAGGCTCAACTTGGAAAGAGCTTGCTGGAAAGCAGTAACATACAGAGGCTTGGTAAAAAGATCAGCAAGCTGATTAGCGGAGGAGACAGGCAACAAGTGAATCAGACCATGAAGCACCTTTTCCCGAACCACATGACAATCGATTTCCACATGCTTGGTCCGCTCATGAAATGTTGGATTATGGGCCAAGTATATAGCAGAAGCATTGTCACAGTAGACCGTTGTAGCTTGGGACAAAGGAAAGTGCAAGTCACGAAGAAGATATGATAGCCATTGAATCTCACAGGAGAGATTGGCTAGAGCACGATACTCTGCTTCACATGAAGATCGAGAGACTGTAGTTTGCTTCTTGGATTTCCAAGAGATAAGTGCTGAACCGAGAAAAACACAGTTGCCAGTGATGGAGCGTCGAGTATCAGGGCAAGAAGCCCAATCAGAATCGGAATACCCAGAGAGCTTCAGGTCGTTGGCAGCGGAAAAAAAAAAGACCAGAAGCAGGAGCATTCTTTATATAGCGAAGAACACGAAGTGCAGCAGCTTGATGCATATCAGTGGGAGCCGAAATGAACTGGCTCAATTGTTGCACAGGGAAAGCAATGTCTGGTCGTGTGGTTGTGAGATAGAGCAATCGACCAACAAGACGACGAAATGAAGAAGGGTCAGGTAACACAACCCCCATTGCACGTTTAAGCTTGAGAGAAGCATCCATAGGCGTGGAAGCAGACTTTGCTGCAAGTAAACCCGAGTCAGAGAGAAGCTCTAAAGCATATTTGCGTTGATTAACAGTGATGCCTTTAGAGGAACGAGAAATCTCAAGGCCAAGGAAGAACCTTAAAGCACCAAGGTCCTTTATACGAAACTGGTTATCAAGGCACTGCTTAACACGTTGAATCTCAAGCAAGTTGTTCCCAGCCAGAACCAAATCATCCACATAAACAAGGATAGCCGTGAAATGAGAACCATGCTTTAAAGTAAAAAGAGAATGATCAGCCTGTGACTGAGTGTATCCCAAGGAAAACAAGGCAGAGGTAAGCTTGGAATGCCACTGCCTACTAGCCTGCTTAAGGCCATATAGGGATTTGAGAAGCTTGCAAACATGGTTCGGGTTGGAACTAGCCAAACCAGGAGGTAAGATCATGTAGACATCCTCATCTAAGTCACCATGTAAAAATGCGTTATTAACATCTAATTGCTCGAGGTACCAGTTGTTGGCAGCTGCAAGAGCAAGTAGAGTCCGCACGGTGGTAAGTTTGGCAACGGGAGAGAATGTGTCAAAATAGTCTATGCCTTCGACTTGTGTGTACCCCTTTGCCACTAATCTGGCCTTGTGTCTCTCTATGGAACCATCAGCATTGTATTTAGTTTTGTACACCCATTTGCAACCGATGGGAGTCTTGCCTTTGGGTAAATCAACAAGTTTCCAAGTTTCATTAAGGGATAAAGCTTGTAATTCTGTGTTCATGGCTTGTTTCCAGCAATCATGCTTGATGGCCTCTTTGTAAGTATGGGGATCAACCTGTAGTGAAACATTAAAACAGAACCGGTGAAATTTAGGTGAGCAACGATCATAAGAGAGGACTTCATGTAAAGGGTACTTTACAGTAGGAGATGTATAGAGGGAATTGCAGTGAAAGTCTCGAAGGTATGAAGGAGGATTTCTAATTCTTGAAGGGCGACAGATTGGTATGGATATTGTGTTGGGAGAAGGAATGGTATTTGGATTTGGAGAATGATCTGTAGTTGGGTTTGAAGGAGAATTATCAGTAATTGGTGGTAAAGGAGTATCATATTCAAGTGGTGAAGAAATGGGAAATATGGAGAAATTGTTGGGTTCAGTGGTAGAAACAAGTGGTTTAGCAATTAAGGGAAAAACAGTCTCATATAAAACTGAATTTCGGGAAATAAAAATCTGATGGGTTTGGAGATCATAAAGAACACAACCTTTGGTATGAGCAGGGTGGCCTAAATAAACACATTTTCTGGCTCGAGGTGATAGTTTGTGTCTTTGGGAGGATAAAGTGGAGGCATAGGCTAAGCAACCAAAGACTCTAAGGTTGTGAAGTATGGGA